ATTCCTATGGGAAATGCAGATTCAACATAAGAACTTTTCAACTTGAGAACCACCTTCCAATACGGATTAAGTTCTTAAGTAGAGACCCCACTGTACTGATAATATATATATGTATATTTTAAGCAGAAAAAACACCATCTTATATACACAGTACTATGTAATTGGAGTTAGAAGGGTTTTTCATTTTTTTAATGAAACCTAAGCAGGTGAGAGTCTGGAAAGTGTAAAGGAGACCCCCCACACACAAACACCCCTGTATCATTTTAGTAATACAGTAATTTTTAAAAGGCATATAATCACATTTTCTTTAACTCAAGGTTTCAGACTGGCTTTGGGTTTTTGGACCAGTTCTTAAGGAGCTATCAGATGCAATAAGAAAAATTAGCAATATTCCTTTTCAGCATTGCTTCCACCTCCCCTCAAAACTTGCTCCAGAAGGCTAGTGGACCTTTCAAAGCAGATTTAGAGGAGAGGGAAGTTCCACTTATGCAACTTTGAATTTTCCCCTAAATAAAACAGATGAATGTGAAAGTGTGGAGAATAAGAGTGTGCCGTCCGCAGAAGTAAAAGTGGAAAAAGAGGATGAAATAAAGAGTCAACGAGATAGTGGCGAAAGTAAAGAAGAAAAGGGAAAGGAGACAGAAGAGAAAGAGGGGAAGGTGAAGATAGAGGTGTGTTTGGCAGACGAAGAGTGGGAGGAGTCTGAAGTGACAGTTGGAGGGGGGGATAAGAACGAAGAGGGGGTGGTGTGGTTCAGTTCAGTGGTGGAGGCTTATGAGAGGAAGAAGAGGGAGGACAGACAGAGAGCCTTTGAAAGGGTTCGCTACCAGGGGTTGTTAAGAGATTTTCCCCATTTGAAAGAAGGTGGCTTGTTACCCGATCCACCTACTGTGACTGAGACTTTCCTGCGCAAATTAGTAAAAGAGTGGAATGTAATTGTGGCGCCCAGAGAGTTAGAGATTCAACGCGAACGTGCCTGGATGACAGCTGAGGAGCACGAAGGTCCCGACGAGAGAGGATGGTACCGACAAGTGCTGTGGGACCATTTGTGCCATGAGGAGTCTCCCTCCTCCTCAGAAGGAGCCGCGGGGATCTTGTGGGATCCGCCGCCTGTAACTCCCTGGGAGTTTGACCAAAGTTTAAATGTTATTGAAAACGGCCTGTTGCCAAGTTTGAAACCGTTAAACCCGTTTAAAGATGTGCAGGTGGGAGAGGAGATAAATAAAAGTTCCAATGTTAATGTTATACGGACTCAGTCTGACTTATTTTCCGCCGAAAACAAGGGGCTGCCTGAAGGAAAGGACCAACTTTCTTGCAATGAAACATTTCCATCAGCTATGGATTGGCAACCAAAACATCATAAAATTCTATGCAGGTTATATGAAGAGAGGAGACTAGATTATTCAATACATTTTCAGAGGGCTTTCAAGGCACACAATATTTCTCAACCTTTGTTTTGCTTTACTTATTCAATAATATACAGAACAAATCATTTTTGTCTACTGTCAGGTTGACCAACTGGTGTTCCGAGAAATATATGGTAGAACAATTTCCCACAGGTCTGCTCTTAAAATGGTTTCATGTCCTGAGAAGGTTCTGTGGTGCTTATCTTGAATGTTGCAAGTATATAATTGGGTAGACCCACGCTTACTCATGTCTGAAACCTGACTAAGTAGGGGGTCCAACTAAAGTGGGACCAGTTAGTCATGGCCTAATTTAATTCCACTGATTTTAATGGGTCTGCTCTAAGCATAAGTACATTTGGAAGCAACACAATATGTGAATGATTGTGGTGCTATGTCTGTGTTGATCCTACACTGGTGGAATTCTGTTGATAGATTAATGGAGTGACAAGTGCCTTTGAAAAGCTCAGAATTCTATAATATCCTATAAGTATTTTATATTAGAATTCTTAGGTGAAATGAGGTGTTATCAAACATTAATTGATACTGAATCCATAAAATCTCCTAAAATGTGCTCTAAGCAATTGTTCCATGCAAGAGTTAGAGAAACATTTTCAAATCAGGATGTGCTTTAATGGCTGCATTGTGTCACATTTTTCCAGATATGTCACCCACTCAATATAAACTATAATTAAAGAAGGTTTGATAAACTTTAATTCTGAAACAATCAAGATATACGTATAAAGACCTATTAACTAAAAAGCAACAATTAAAAATATACAGGAGCTGAAGGAAATGGATCTGCAGACAAACTGGTGGACAATTTTAAATTAGAATCAAGGTTTAAAAAAGACAAAACAGTGGGTTTTTATGACGGGAAGGTACAGGTGAATGAGTTGTGGGTTTCTACTAATAAGATTATACAAAAATGTATACTTTTTTGTTAGAATATAATTTCGAGAACAAAAGGATGAAAATAGTGATGATTAAATGGGCACAAAATTTTGATTATAATATACAGATGACTGGACTCAAATGCGGAATGAGAACTATAGATGGCTCAAGCCAGTAAACTTAAGAGAAAATGTTTTTAAAGATGTTTTATAGATTGCATCTGTAAGACTGGCGAAAATGATGCCAGGGGCTAGCAACTCATGTTGGAAGTGTTCTCAGCAACCCGGAACTTTTTTTCATATGTGGTGGACATGCAAGAAAGCAAAAAGCTTTTGTAGACAGATAAAAGACATTACACTAAAAATTATACAACAAGAAATAGCTTTTAAACCAGAAATCTTTTTGTTGAATATAATGCCAGATAATGTTGATAAAAAATTAAATGTATGTTGCTGTACATATTTACAGCTGACAGGCTGATCTGGGCCCAAAAGTGGAAAAAATCAGGTATCACAGAAATGGATAGATTGTCAGAGGCATTACATAAGAACCTGAGAACATATGTTAAAGAAAGCTGGAAAATATTTTATGATTGGGCCCAGAAACAGATATGAGTAGAGAATATAATACAGTGGTGCCTCACTTAGCGATGTTAATCCGTGCAGCAAAAATCGCTGTGATTTTAAAAATGCGTTTAATATGTTCCTATTGGCTTAAAAACTCACCTTATGCGAAAATCCTCCATAGGGGTGGCCATTTTCGGTGCCTCTAAAGTGAGGCAAAACAGTGGGTGGCCATTTTGGAATCGTTGATCAGCTGTGTGAAAATGCGGCCTTTGGGCTGATCGTGGGAAAGCGCTCCCCTGCGATCATCGCAAAGCGAATTTTCCCCATAGGGGCCATCGCAAAGCGATTGCTCTTGCGATGGCAAAAAGTCCATCGCAAAGCGATTTTGTCGTAAAATGGAGCGATCGCTATGCGAGGCACCACTGTATAGGTTATGGATTCTAGTATTGTATCACAGCCATGGAGTCAAGAGTATATTAGATAATATATGAATGCAAATACTTACCTGTTTATGTTTTGTTTTGTGTTGCCCCTTTTTCCCTCCCTGTATTTGTATCCTTTTGATGGCTGTTTGTTTGTGTTTTATATAAGAATAAAAATTAAACTATAAACTATAATCATATACACATCTACAGTATTTAGCAGTGCATGCCATTGAGCTCAGTCTCACTTACTTCAGCCTTAAGATCTTACCTTTAATGGGTTCATGGGAATCCATCTCAAATTCTACAAGTGATACAAGAGGAGCACTTTCACTAATTGGAGAATACTTTTGCCTTAATGAATACATTAGTTCCTGAACATCATCCATTAAGGCAGCTTCTTCATCAAACAAGTCTACTTCCTTGATCACTTCTTCTTTGTTTTCCATCTCTCTTGAATCCAAAGCCTTGTTCAGAACATCTAGAATATTAGACTCTGAAGATTCAAGGATCTGATCCAAAGCCTTTTCAGTGTCCTCATAATTCCCATTATGTTTCTGAGCTAGCAATAGCTCCAACTCCATGTCATGAAACAAAGATTCAATCCTGAAAACATGCTGTTGTCCAAGATACTTTTTTAAACGTGCAATGCGTTTTTCATCCAGAAATTCCTTCATTATAATGAGTTCCCTCACAGACTCACTGTATTCTGACTCCACAACTTCATTTGTGTTTTCTGAAACATCTCTAGGATCATGGGAATGTTGGTATTTACCTTCAGTTGAGGTCTCTAGTTCTTTAAGGCCCCTCTGTGAAAAATCATGTTCCTTGATTTGTTTAATGTCATCCTTATCATCCAATACAGAGAAATTTAAATTGCTTGACATTGTTTTATCATGAACATCTTGTATTTTACTTTTCCCCTCGACCAGAGAATTTTCTGTTGCAGGCAATAAAGCTGGCTCTGCTTTTTCCTGCTTTTCATCTTTGTCTTCATTCTGTTGAGACTCTTCCCTAATTTGCATTCCTCTAAGCTTCTCATTCAAATCTTCCATGCCATCTTCTTTCTGGGGCTGTTCAAGAGTTGCTATTGCTTCTTCTCCTGTTTCATCAACAGGATTAGCAACTCTTGAAATAGCACCGTTTGGCATTTGTAGCTGAGGGCTTGTGTTTTCAACATCTAACGGGAAACCTTGCTCATCTGTGAGTCTCTCTTTAGATAATTTTGCACTCATAGCATTTTCATCTTGAAGTAACTCCTCTTCTGATTCTTCTAAGAAATCACCTTCTTCCATCTCTGTCTCTTCAGGCTTGAATTCTTCTGTGTGTGATTTCTCTAAATTTTCATCCATTTCAGTAACTCTGTCCAAGTCCTCAGCTTCATCGTGAACAGTGTTTTGCTGAGTAAGGTTTTTAAGATGGGTGCCTTCCCCTGATTTTTCTAGAATAGATTTTTTCTCTAGTGTTTTCTCACTACTTATGTAGTCATCCTGTTCCTCATCCTCCTCTTCACTTCCTTCTAAATCCTGGGTTACAGTTTCCTGTTGAGATTGTTCAGTAGACATTTGAATATCTTTTTCAGTAGGAATATTTTCCGTACCAGAATCATTTGATTGTTTATTACTGCCAAGTATCACTCCTGGTTCAAAATCTTCTCCCTCCTCCTTTCCACCGTATTTTGCTTTACCTTCTGTGAAGTCAGCATCCTCAAATTCACTCTGAGATTCATTTGTTAATTCTTCCAGCACATCTGGTACAAAGTTCATTGGTTGTTTAGCCTCCTTTTTATGACCTATTTTTTCCCACAGTGTTTTGTGTTTTGTATCATTTTCCAGTCTATCCTCCATATTTTTCTCTTCTCTTTCCTTCTCTTTCATTATCTTATGAAGAGATAAGCCTTCTGGGTCATCTTTGATGTCACCCAGGGGTGGCTTTAAATTTTTCTCCTCCGTTTCCATGGTTGCTTTAGGTTGCTGATCATCTCCAAAACTGGAAAACACATCCATATTGTGTGTAGAGGTACTTTCCATTTCTTCTGTAACTTGTTCTTCCTGAGTGTCCTCATGCTTTCCCTTATGGTTCGCTCTTTTATGCATTTCTTCCTTAGAATTTTTAGTATCAGTATTATGTGACTTCTTTTCAAGAAGATCATGTTCTGATATAAAGGGATCATATTCTGCTGAAGACTCCGAATGAAGTAATGCATCTTCTGTGTTTTCATTCTTACTAATTAGGACTACATCGTCCTCACCATCCTCACTGTCATCATCACCATCATCCTCATCTTCACTGTCCTCCTCAAAATCAGCCTTGTTCTCATCCATTTCATCACCTGTTCTTTCACCTCCACTGACAATGGCAAAAAACTTATCTCCTAAATGTGTTAATAGACCAGAGTCATCTTTTTTCTCATGTATTAATTCTGCTTCTGCTGTGGCATCATCATTAAAAACACTTGCTTTTGACTCGAAGACACCCCCAGGTGACATATTTTCAGTTTCTGGGGGGTCTGAAGATTTGATTTTTCGTTCAAAAGGTAACAAAGGAATTTCCTCTGACTGCTCCTTTGGTTCTTTCAGCTTCTCCATATCAGAAGTGTCAACGTCTAAATCTTCCCTGGACTCACCATCAAGTGATGTAACAAGGCTAGTTGTCTCATCATCAGACACAAAGGCATCTGCAGTGGAGCCAAATGTTGTTTTTAAGTCCTCCGATACTTCTTTGCCTCTGTAATCTGATTTTTTAGCTTCACCCTGAGATAGACTAGAGTTTTTGGCACTTTCATGTTTTGGCACTTTCAATGTTTCCTGCAGCATTTTTTCAAAAGGCTTCTGTGCACTTTGGTCTCCCTGAGGATTTTCTGTATCACTATTTACAACAGGATTTTCACTCTTGGAATCAAGAGCTTCTTCTACATTCTCAGTATTTTCAAGAAGTACATTTACTTGTTCATTCATTTTTACATTGTCTTTACTCTCTTCTTCTGAGCCTATGTCAAAACTATTAGCATCTGGGCCAATAGACTCTGCAGAGTCAGCCCATTCGATGTCCTCTTCCTCTTCAGATTCTAGCTCATCTTCTGCATTGCCACCTTCCATATCCTCTGATATCTTTAAAAGCTCATCCACATCATAATTATCAAAATCATCATTGCCTCCATCAAAACAAACAAAATCTGTTTCCTGGAAGAAAAAGAAAATAAATTCAGTAAATTAAAGAACAGGATATTCTCCCCATACTCTATATCACATCATAATTTTTCATTTTACTTAGCTGAAATTTAGCTGGATTATTTCTACTAAAAGCTGAGGTTATGCATGTGATTAAAAGTGATAGAAACATGATAAAAATGTTTTATTTCAAGTGGAAACATTCCAAGTATCATCAGAATTTCTACAAAACTTACATTGCAATTCTATGTGTGCTTACATACAAATAAAGTCAATTAATATAGTAAGGTGTTTGGAAATATGCACAGGATCAAGTTGCTGGATTTGAATCATATCAAGATATATATAATATGTACCTCTATTATATATTAATAAGATATGACTGCAAACAAATGAACTCTTTGTCCAACGAGCCCAGTTGTATCTAATCTGCCAGGGAATCTTTATTGGGTAAAAAGCTTTCAAACACATATATGAAAGCTGTGTTTTTATATTTATATATATATATATTTGCTGTGTATATGTATGTGTGTATAAACACACAATATAAGTTCAAAATGCAAAGCACAGGCTCTTCCACTGAACCTCTCAGCCCCCTCCCCCCGGGCTTACCAAGGAGTAAGCCCCACTAAACACAGTGGGACTTAGTTCTGAGTAAAAGTATATAGGCTTGTTCTAAACAGGTAAAAACACAATTAAATGTAAGTATATACTGTACAGTGGTACCTCAACTTGCAAACAATTCGAGTTACGAATGGCTCCGTTTGCAAAAAGTTGCTTCGACCTGTGAACGGAGCCTTGACTTAACGAACCAAAAAAGAAAGAAAAAAACCTTTCCTGCCCTTTTTTTGACCTAAGTTCACATAAGGTCAAAAGAGAAAAATCACCCCCTAGTGGTAGAGTACGGATTAACCGGCTTTGTGTTAGTTCCTATGGGAACTAATGCCTCCATCTTGGATAGTATTAATTATAATAATTGCATTATGCTAGTTATTTTTCTACATTCTTTTAATGTGTTTTAATTTTTGTAAGCCGCCCCAAGTAGACGTTGTCTAGAGGGGCGGGGTAAAAACTGAATGAATAAATAAATAAATAAATACCTACGAACAGCGCCTCTACCTACAAAGGGAAAACAGCAGATACAGATTAAATGGTTTTCAATGCATTATGAACTTTTCAGCCTGCAAACTTAATTCCAATACAGTGGTGCCTCGCTTGACGAGGATAATCCATTCCAGCAAAATCGCTGTAGAACGAAATCCTCATCAAGCAAAAAAAAAAAACCCACTGAAATGCATTGAAAACTGGTTCAATGCATTCCAATGGGCTAAATACCTGATCGTCCAGCAAAGATCCTCCATAGGGCGGCCATTTTCCAGTGCCTGTAAAGCGAAAAAGGCCTCCTAAAACAATGGGAAGCCATTTTGCACAGCGGGTGGCCATTTTGAAACCCAACAATCAGCTGTTTTCAGATCGTCGTATTGCGAAGAACCGGTTCCCGAAGCAGGGAACCGATCGTCGTAAAGCGATTTTTGAACATTGAAACATTGTTTTGCGATCGCAAAAACCTCACCGTCAAGCGGATTGGTTGTTTAACGAGGTAATAGTTAAGCGAGACACCACTGTACAGATTAAGTTCTTAAGACGAGGTACCACTGTATGAGTCCTGTGTTGTGACCTGCTGGATACTTGACAATCCCCGTGTATTACAAATCTTGGTGAGGAAAGAATGAGAAAAGACTCCACACCAGTGGATTTTCAGATATGGTTGGCAAATAGCATTCTGCTTGGTAAGTCACAAGCTGTGCAGGCCTGACTACCCAGTAGTTTACTCTTCTGCATTTCCTCTCTAAATATTCAGAGGAATTAAGGTCAAAAACCTATTGTGAAATATTGCAGGCAAAGGAACAAATGCAAGCAATTTCTGTGTTTCATAATTGGTTGGTTGCGCACCTGATTGTGCTTTGAGAGCACAATAAGATGACAAAATATGCAGCAGACAGTTGGTCCAAGGCCTCCTGTCACATGATTCTAGCCTAAATGTTCTCAATTAATCAATGGATCCGAGATAAATATTTTACAGTATTCTTTTGCTCCTTTCTTTCCCCATTTCTCCACTTGGCTTTATTTATATTGTGTTTCTTCCTTGCAATCTATTTCAAAGACACAAGCCCTGTCACACTATTCCCAAGCACTCAAAACAGGACAATACATACTTACATCTGTTATAAGTTCCAGCTCATCGTGTGTATAAATATGATTTATTTCAAGTAAATCCTTTGGAAAATAGCCAAATTTATTTCCAACCTGCAGGAAGGGAGAATAAAATAAAAAGTCATTATTGGAGGTATGGGAAGAGTGAGGATTTAAAACCTTATTTCTGCTCCTTTTGTAGAGCCAAGTATGCAATAATGACTATATAGAAAGGGTGCTGTCTATGCCCAAAGGATGTACACAGTATATATGGGCTCTAGTTGAGAGGTGCACTCAGTAAGATACACTGGGACCATGGGGCATTTCATTGTTTTTTCTACAAATAAAAATAAATACTGCACCAGAGGAACTATTTATGGTATTTTGTGCATCAACTCTCAATTTCTCTTAAACAACCTCACTGATAATCTAGATTTGGGTTGTTATGGTTGCTTTTTAAAGACCGGAAAATACTGAAACATTCAGGCATTCAAGAAATGAAAGGACTGAAGTGTTTAAAAATGGCATTTTGCCATTTCAATACTGAGCACTATAAAAAGATAAGATTACTAGCAAACTTTTTCCACGTCTTGTTGAAATCTGTGGGAGTGGCATGTTACTGTGGTCTTTGATATACATTGTGTTGGAAGTGGGTGTGCACAATTTTGTCTAGATTGTATTCTTCCTCTTCTGGCTATGGTTATTTTTTTTTCATATTCTCAGTTAATGCTGTACTAGTTGTGCATATGCAACAAACATACTCTTCATGATATAAAATGAAATGCAGAAACAGCAAATATTCTGCCGAGAACAAAACTAGGTGTGTTTTTAAATGAGTATTTAAATATAATACATTTAAAACGTTTATAGCCACTGAGTGGGACAGAGACTTATTAGGAACACTGCAAAGAAGTAGAAAGATTTGGCTCTCCTTGTTGTGGACAACAATATAAAGTTGTGTGCACCTCAAAATCAAAAACCAAACTATTTAATTCATGACAAACTGCTGCAGCCAGTTTAATTCTCGTTAATCAGGCAGAGCTGCTCAATATGATGCTGACCACTGGAGCTGAGCTTCTGAATAAAGATGCATAAGCTAATGCTATCCAATTGCTGTCTGCATTAATGCCTTCTAGAAAAAAATTCACACTACATCTTCACCTGTGTGTGTGTGTGTAAATGGTATCAGGAAGCCAATATTAACGAGAATTGCCTCAGAGATTAGATAAGCAAGGCAGTTAAATACTGGCAGAAGACACAGAAAGTAAACATACTTGCAAGAGGTAGTATGCTCAAAATACGTTCCATGTATACAGTATTTCCCCTTTCCTGGATACCCTGATGCTTTCTTAAAGGAGAAAGAAGAAAACTTATTTATTGAAGGAACATTGCTAAGATTTTATAAACAATCAGATGGATCAAGTTCTGACATCAGTACATATAGAAAATATTGCATGGGGTTTCATTGAATTAAGAGGTCATCTTTGAAGAGTTTAATAAAAGATTTCAACACTATATTTTCATTTAGTCTGTTTCTCCTGAAAGATCTCTGAAAGAGTAAGAGATAGAAACATGGATACTGCCGATTTTTGCAATGTAAATAACTGGGTTCACTGATAATCAGTTTTTAGTACCGTCTAATAAACATTTGCTGGACCTTTTTAAAAAGCATATCAAATAAACTCCAACTATCAGATCTTTTCCTACCTGCTACAAACTAAAATTACAACAAGAAAGGATTGTGTTTGATTATACCAGGAAGACTCAAAATATTTTAAAAAGAACTTCAGAAGATCTTGGCAATGATGACAGCTAGAATCAACTACATTTGCACGGATGCTACTGATTATCCAGCTTAACTACAGTGGTGCCTCGCTTAGCGATTGCCTCGTTTAACAATGTATTCGCTTAGCGATGAGGTTTTTGGAGCGATTTTGCGCTCCGTTTAGCGATGTTTCCAATGGGGAAATTTCGCAAAGCGATGTTCGGGACCTTGCTTCGCTTAGCGATGACAGTTTAGGTCCCCCTGTTTCGCTTAGCGATGTCCGTTTTTGCTATTTTAAATGGGTCTTAAAATGTTCAAAAACTGTTTAAAATGCTTGGAATCATTAGTGCACCCTGTAAAACCTTTGCAAACTTAATTTGGGGAGGACTGTTTGGGGAACAGCTGTCAAACCTACAGTTCAATGCATTCCAATGGGGGGGGGGAAATTCACCAAAAATTAACGAAGACTCAGAACAAAGCCAAATTAAGTTTGCAAAGGTTTTACAGGGTGCACTAACGATCCCAAGCATTTTAAACAGTTTTTGAACATTTTAAGACACTTCAAAAATAGCAAAAACGGACCTGTCAAAACCACTGAAATGCATTGAAACCTATTCAATGCATTCCAATGGGGGAACCGCGTTTCACTTAACGATGTTTCCTATGGCGATTTTTGCTTAAGGACGGTAATCCATTCCCATTGGAATGGATTATCCGGTTTTCAATGCATCTCTATGGGAAAACGCGGTTCGCTTAGCAATGTTTTCCCATAGCGTTTTTTTTTAACCAATTAAAATCGTTAAGCGAGTTACCACTGTATATGGAGTGGTTTTATCCCCCAGGGCCCAACATTAGTTTCAATAGTGCCTTCCTATAGGCAGTTGGCTAACTCACCTTTTAAGAGTGTCATTTTAGTTGTAAGTATGAGATCCTTTATTTCTGACTATAAACTACATGGCACATCTATTGTTCGCTAAGTTTCTGTCAAATCCCTTTCTTTTATTTTTATCATGCAACAATGAGAATTGTACTCAGTGCTTAAAATCCTGTTGCACAGTTCTGTGTGTGCAACAGCAATGTCAGCAAGAGAGCAAACTGCCCCTGAGTAAAGACTTCCTTTGATGGTTTTGGGGTGCACTCAACTTCACTGCATTGTGCAAAAGTTGCATGCACCCTGAAAATTCCTTTAATCAGTGGTGAGTTGCAGCTGCAGCTGTTAATTTCATCCCCAGTGTGCAAGCAGAGCTTCAATCATCTGTCCAAAATTAGAGTGCAGCTAGGAAACCAGAAGAGAACTGATACAGTACTTGGAAGAACAACAATGAAGGAACTAGACAAGATAATAAAAAATAAGGATGTGTCACTGGAGACCAAGATCATCTACCCTCTTGTATTTCTGATCACTTATATGGAAGTGAAAGCTGGACAGTAAAGAAAGCTGATAGGAAAAAGTTGCATTTGTTTGAAATGTGGTGGTTGGAGGAGAGCTTTGCGAATACCCTGAAGTGCCCAAAAGACAAACAAGTGGATCTGAGATAAAATCAATAGTGAATTATCTCTGGAGGCAAAAATGTTGAAGCTGAAAATGCAGGATTATCTGGAAAAGAGAACAATGCTGGGAAGGTAGAAGGCAGCAGGAAAAGAGGAAGACCAAATATGAAATGCACTGACACCCTAAGGAAACCAATAGTATTTTAATTTGTTATTATTGTATGGTTTTAATTGTTGTGATCTGCCTTGGGTCCCCTATGGGAAGAAAGGTGGCATACAAATAATAAAATAAAATAGTAGTGGAGGAAACAGAAAGTACTGTACTGTACAGGAGATGCTTTTTTAAAAATGGCAACATTTGCAGCTATAAACATAGTAACAAAACTGTTGATTTTCATGGGTTGCACCAGTAGATGCTTTTTTTAAAATGGCAACATTTGCAGCTATAGACATATAGCTGCAAAACTGTTGATTTTCATGGGTTGCACCATCTTTATCACAGGAAAAAACAATTGCTTTGTATTGTATTAAAATATTTTGACAGTCTGCTGTCACTAGTGGATTTGTAACAGAATACAACATAATTAAGATTATACTCTCGGTCTGAACTTTCATCCATGCTCACTGACTTGTTACTGTACACTTCTACAGTCTATGTGCAAATTAATTTGGCTAATGTGGGCATTAACTGTTTGGTTTCTTTTGTTTAAAATCTTGAGTGTCTAATTATCTAGCCCCGAGTTCCATAGCTGGCCTTAATTATTCTTCATGTTTTGTTTTTATGAAGAGCTTGCAACCCTGGAGACAGATGCCTCCTAATTATCAGGTTATTTGTGGCCTGGTACATGTCAGAAGGGAAATGCCCAGCACAATACAATGATTCCATTCTGCCCCTTTCACTATGTGTAATGCTTTCCCCGTTTCATCTTTAATTGGACTCTATTGCTGCTAAGAATCAGTTGTGTCCTAACCTCACTCTAACAGTCTAATGAAAGCAGCACCTCCTGGCAGCTCATGGTGTTGGAACAGCACACAGAAGCACACTCTCCTTTGCAAGCTGTGTGTGGAAAAGAGATGAGAATTACTTAGAGAGATGCAACCTTTCAATGAAGGGCCTGTTCCTATGGAACTCATCAATGAGAAATCCAGACTGGTAAGAATCTAGAATATCAGGCCAAAAAAAAAATAATAAAGAAGACAAAAATGTACCACCTTAAAAAGTCCTATATTTTAATGTGAGCTTTTGTGGACAAATCCTCTTCCTCAGAAGACAGAATCTAAGAGTCTGTCTTCTACTTCTCTCCTGATAGCTCTCCTCTGCACAGTAAAACTCAATGCAAGGTATGTTATGTCACTGAAAATAGTTTTTGATGGATAGCTAAAGTGAGTGAGTTGTACTAAGGATCCACTGATTTCATCAGGATTTAACTCTAACTGACTTGTCATAGAATCATAGAATCATGGAGCTGGAAGGGACCTATTAGGCCACCAATTTCACTTCCCTGCTCAATGCAGAAATCTAAACCAAAGTAAATCTGACAAATGGTTGTCTGATTTTTTTTTCTTGAATGTCTCCAGTGCTGGAGGACTTATCACCTCCTGTGGTAATTGGTTCCATTGTCATACTGCTCTAACAGTTGCCCAGTAATTTTAAACGGGTCTTAATGACAGGTATCTAGTTGTCTCGTGTGTTCCCAGAGGCATCTGGTGGGGCCACTTTTGAGATACAGGAGCTGAATTAGATGGGCCCTTGGCCTGATCTAGCAGGGCTCTTCTTACATTCTTATGTAATGTTTCTGTATCTGGACCTTGGCCCATTTTTGTCTCTACAGCATCATATTTACAAAGTACAATAAATGGATCAAATGCAACACAAAGATATCCCCTCTTAGCATATCATCTACATATTCCTGTTTTTTTGAACACTGCCTTTATTGCATTCTCTTCAATGGGTAATATTCAATTGGTTTCTTCTGCCATCAACTTAATAGCATGAATCATCAGAACTTATTTCACTATCCCATACACAGGTTTGCAAACATGCTTTGGACCACTGGAAGACCCCCACCCTAGAGCATATTTTGGGAGTCACAGATGGCTCTAAAGTTGGAAAGAAGGAAAATTCCATTGGCCAAAAAGAAAGTTTCTCACAGCATGATGGGTGCTGGAGTTTTTACAACTCTGTCTGTAGTTTGTTTAACTGAGAGGGGCTTGGGTGACTATCAGTCTATCCAGCACTAACCAATTATTTCCTCCTGCCTCTGAATTCAAAGAGAGCCCCACCTCTCTCCTGAGTGTTTTTCTTTTCTTCAGTCTGTTGGAAGTATTTCATTTATTTGCTGTTGAACTGTTCACAACTGTAAATAATGAAATGTTGAGGTATTAAGGCTGTAAGTGTCAGTTAATGAGAAAGGGGAGGACTGTTTGGGGAACCTGTAGCTATTCTACTCTGTGTATCTGTACTTTCACTGCATAGCAAAGGAATTTTACCAGAAACTGAAAACTTTGCAACAATGGGTACCATTCCAATTTCCTTAAGAGCCTTTCTACATGTTGCATGTATTCTCACAGTTCACTCAGAGTTGCCCTACCTAAAGTTGTTTCTCTCTCTTCATGAAGATGAAGAAGAAAGTAAATGGATCTAATGAACTTGCACCACAGGTGCAACAGCAGCTAGGGGAATGATACTGAGCAACAAAAGAGATTCCTGGCTAATTGCTTGCACTGGGAAGGGAGAAATGAAAGAGCTGCAAACTCAAGCAAAAGGATCATTCATATCACAGCAAATTAAAACCAAGATGCAATATATATTGTTTTACTTGTTGCGAGCCACCTTGGGTTTCCTATGGGGAGAAAAGTGGCTTTTAAATAAAATAAAATAAAAGCAATTGTGTGAACTGATCCAGAGAGAAGTGCTGAATTTAACTGCACTGCAAGCAGCTTGAGGGTTGTGGGAATCTACACAGTTGCTCTCATAGAATCTGATGCAGGGTAAATGCTACTGCTGATTGTTTTATGATACCTGCTTCCTTCCAACAGGCTGTGATTGTATATTAAAAAAAACACACCACCAAATAATAATTCATTGTTACAATCTTACACAAAGGAAGCTAAATGTCTGTAGAATTTGTCATTAAGTTGTCATTGCTCAGCAAATTACTTACTAACACTGAACATGAAGAATTAAATACTAACATAAAAGCCAAAATCCTGTTTTTCTGCACAGTAAATTGTATTAGGCCCACCGAATCAATGGGGTTTAAGTGAGTTAATTCTTCCATGTTGTTGTTGTTGCTTAGTCGTGTCCGACTCTTCGTGACCCCATGGACCAGAACACGCCAGTCTTCCACTGCCTAATTCTTCCATAGGTTCCATTAATTAAAATGGGCTAAAGGGAGTCAAAGCTACCTATAGTAGGCCTATTTGAATCAACAGAACTAATGGAGGAGTTTCTTCAAACTTCCATGGATTCAATGAGCCGACACTAATGTAGTTTACTATGCTAAGCAACAGGATTTTGGCTAAAACAAGCATTTCCTATCATAGCAGTTATAAAGCAGCTAAAACAAAACAAAATAAAATGAATACTTACACTTCCAGCCCAAAGCTCGTTCGTTCTTCCAGTTAGCTTATAGTACACATATATTGATTCTCCTTCTTTAAAATCTAAAAAACGACAATCTGGACCTTTAAAATCCTTCACTGCCTTCCCTCTACACATCAGCACTGTTGAAAGAAAGAGAGAAAAAACAATGTAAGATAAAATAAGGTTTTCCAAATAGTAAAGGAAATCTATTAATGACATGCATGTATATGAAAGTGCATGTGGCTCAGGAATTAAACGTTAGAACTGGTACAAAGACAGTTTCGAAACTGTTACAGTTCTTTATTATTGGCCAATCAAGAAATCAGTGAAATTAATGAAGTTCCAGTGTACATTTCACTAAAATAGGAAAACTCCAGCTTTGCCTCATGTTGCGTTCTAGGGCCCAATACTAAATATATTCAAGACGTGGCATGAACTCTAAAAGAGCATACGTTTGCATATAAAGATACACTTGGATTTACATTTTGTTTAGGTTTTTAAAATCTGATATTATACCTTTGGTGTATGTTTGTTAGCCACATCTCAGTTCATTTTTGAAAGGATGCGTGTATTTTAATAAATAAAACAAACATAAACATAAGTGAAATGCCTTCAAATATTATTTTAAAATTCACAAACTTATTATTTGAAAGCTGATGTAACTATGGTGCTTTAAAAAACATGCATCTCTATTACACTTGCTTCAGCTGTATATTAAAGTCTGTTTATAGTCCAGTAATTTCAAAGTAGCACCACAAAGTGTGGATAGGCTCTTCATGACTTAAAAGTGCAGTCCTTCACCCTTTATCCATATCCAGTAGAATTCCCAAGTAACCATGCACAGTACTGTTCAGCATAGCTTAAATCCTATGCTTATTTACCAGGAATCAACTAATACTTCTTTCAAACAAATAAATACATTTAGGAGTGGCCTGCCATTGACTGTGCATAAGCACACAGCACTTTAATCTACATATATGAAACATCTGAGACATTCTCACAGTTAATTGTGCAGAATGCATCTCAAACAAACAGTGGGAGAGTCCAAAGAACCACCAGCTTCTCTGTTTCCATAACACATCTGACATATTAGGCTACTTTTAGTAATTTAATAGCAGAATGCAAAAAAAGAGAAGAGAATGAAGTAAAAAAGTGGTTTCTGATTAAAACTGGGCTCTAGGTTTGAGAATCCAAAATATACAAGTTTGTTAACATAGCCAGAGGGAAAACAAATGTTTGACGTCTTTCAAAACGGCAACATCTTGTTGCAAACCTTAACTTGAAAATGCTTTTGGCCATTAAGAACTGTTTAAGGTGCATTTGCATCTGACCCTAGCCAGCGCTAAGCTGCTACCTGGTCAATGTGGGACAATAACATTTGAGTGTTACAATCAAGGTGATCCAAGAGGTTCAATCAACTGCGATGGTCAGTGACACAGGAGGGCATACCAGACTGAACAGTGTAGCTGTTTAGAGACCCAAATTATCAAGGATCATTCCCGACCCTCCAAATCAACAGTATGTAAGGAAATATGTGGATGATCGTAGAAATGGGCCCTGGGTTCATGCCCACTGATGAGTATGACAGTTACAAATTCCATCCTTAACAGGGAAGGGAAATATTTATTCCCCACTCAGTTAAAGATGGACTAAATGTCTCCCTTCCTAGTTAGGGATGGGATATATTTTGGACACTGTTGACTATACATAGAGTTTTAGAAAGAAGGAGATTCCAGGTCCTTGCCGGGCAGACCTTACAAGTATAAGCAACGCAGCAAAGGTGCGACTTGGAGCTACGATTTCCCAGTTTTATCTAGTCCAGTCCTAAAGGCCAATATGTTTTTAAATCGAGATGTCAACCTTATCCACTTCAACAGCGTTTCCTCGCAAGCAAGCTTTAAAAAAAAAAGGACACAAACGAAGGCGGCTTGTTTCGCTTTGTAGTCGTCTTCTGCACCCCGAGAGAAAATAAAAGGCAATTAACAACAGAAGGCGTTTGCCAGTTGGGACGAATCGGCCGCCAAGAGGGGAGGCCAAAAGCAGTCCGAAGCAAGGGAGGAAAGCCTCTCTTCTTCCTCCTGGCAAACGGGGAAGGGAGAGAAAAGCGACGCCGGCCGTTTCCTCTCTCCAGCCTGGGGTGCTGGAAGAAAAGCCATGGGTTGGAAGCGAAGGGCAGCTTCGTGGAGCGCGAGCGAGCCTCCTCCTCCGGCCTCTCCGCTGCGTGGCCTTGGGGATGCATGCCAACAGGTCCCTCGGTTCATCTCTGCTGAGGACCGGCTGTCGCAGGGACCCGGCGGATTCCCGTCCGTCCGTCCGTCTC